TGCAACTGTTCGATTATTGAGCGCCAAGCTTTAATAGCTTAATTATTTTAACACGCTTATATTAGTTTCACCTGTATGTATGTATGTATGTATGTTTGTAACTCTCAAAACGCCACACGTTATCGCATATTCCGTCGTCTAGACTAGACTGTCATAACGCATTCACCCCACTCCGCGCCTCGATCTACACACGCCGGCAATACTATTCCTTTATAAATTTATTTTTGGTTATCGTACCCGTACACGCGTGCTTGTCATCAATATTATATATATAAAAACAAATTTTTATTTTGACTGACTATTATCATCCGCGTGCATACGGCTTACGTATATATTCCTACCGCCGTTTATACCTCAGGTTTAACGTTAGTCCGACCCGACCGCCCACAAAACACGGCTATACCTAGTGCATGATACGTTTACGTACTTAAGTCGCTCTACATGTATATATATATTCTAATTACTATTAAAAATATATATTAACACACTTTATTCTTATTTAAAAATATAGAACTCATTCATTCCGATTACAAAGGATGAATCCAGTATCGTCATTTTTCGTCACTACCTCCATGTTCCGGGAGTGGGTAATATACGCGTCTGCTGCTTTCCTTGGATGTGGGAGCCGTTTCTCAGACTACCTCCCCGGAATCAAACCCTGATTTCCCATTACCCGTTACAACTATGATATTGATAGTAACTACTATCATAACATAAAACTAAAAAGTGAAAAATAAATATAGTTTAAAAAAACTAAAAAAACACGCTTTTAAAGCACATTGAACAAAAAAGTTAAAAATAATTTTTAAAATAAGCTTAAAATAATAATGAACGAAAAATACTAGTGTTATTGTGATAAAAGCGTGGGTGCTTTGTGCCATATTTTTCGTATAATGAGCGCCCGACGCTTTTATCACAATAATACTATTATTTTTTATTCATAATTATTTTAAGCTTATTTTAAAAATTATTTTTAACTTTTTTGTTCAATGTGCTTTAAAAGCGTGTTTTTTTAGTTTTTTTAAACTATATTTATTTTACGTGAATGGTGAATACAACTGAAACATTTACGTTACACACGTCCAATTGCGATTAGAATGATGATAAAGTAATTGTTAACAATAATCTTTAAAATTATCTACATTGAGAAACAATGCTATTATTCCCACAATAAAAATTATTCTTAAACCTATCTTTAATTTTTTATGACATGCTAAGAAATATAATTTCTTACCTTGTGTCCAACTAGCTTGATCGATTGTTGTACAAAAAAAAAAAATATATATATAATAAGAGCACTGACTTTAATCTACTTATTTATTTTATAATCCTATAAAAATTGTTAAACTTAAATATTACTTCACTTAAATTCCTTTCTACACTTGGTATCTGAACATATATGTTCTTTTATACTTCAAAATGAAAATTTATAGAACCAAATAGATTATGAGAACCAATCCCTTGTGACGTATCACAAATTATTGTTTTACCAATATTTTCAACCACTTGATGTGCTAGGGTAATGACTTCAATAAACTATCAATATTTTATGAAATCGTTTATTTGATATGAGAGTGGACAGAGTTAGAGACAGGGTGACTACACCATTGGAGATAATACTCGTCGATGCACGGCACTTACGTAGTATAGAACTGCTTGCCGAAAAGAACGTGACAGAATATGAGAATCAATCCCTAGTGACGCGTCATAAACTATTATTTTACCAACAGTTTTAACCTCTTGATGTGCTAAGGTAGATTTTCGAAATGCACTTGTTAAATAGACCATCCAATTGAAGAATTAAAAAAATTTTTAATCGGAACAATTTGCATTTCAGGGTTCAACTCAATGTATGGTTTCAACCAAGCACTTTGTTTAAACTCTAAAACCCGGTGCACCTGCAGAACAAATATTTATATTAGTATCATCGCTTATAGTTTATAAGTGTTATTATACATAATTTATAGACTAGCAGTCCGTGTTCAATTGCCTGTTTCAAGTCGACATAGTGTAAGACGTACCGTTGTTTAGGTTTCAAAGTGGCCATGAGTTTGTTCTCTTTGAAACCCGGTGGTACATCGTTACCAGGAAAGAACGGCAAGTCATTGTGCTCGTCATGCAGCTCTTGTGGATACGATACGCCCACTTCATATATACGCATCGTATTACCAGTGTCCGACAGCAATTGGAGGTCAGCCAGTGGGACTGCTCCTTCATACCACCGTACGGTATGGACTGACTCATAGCCTACTGGTAAAGGTTATTACCTGTATACATCAAACGTTTTTAAACCATCGCTCAATTATTTCAATAACTCCATAAAACGCCCATGTAAAAGATTCTATCACATTGACAAATCAAATATAACAAAAAATATTTCAAGAATCTCACCAGAGATCGCTAAACAAGTTTTGCGGACTATAAAAAGGCCATTTCCCCCCAAAAACTATCTCTTTCTGTACACTCTCGAGGTAAAAAAACTCGCTCTGGCCATTCCTCTCGGACTTCTCAATCAATGTTCACGAATCGAATCTGCGTGAGTGTATCGTTCGCTCTTGGTTACAATTCTATATCAAATCTACACTGCTTTTATTCCATTCCTAATCACTGGGATTTAAAAGTAATATTATATATCTTATTTTCGGTCGAATACTTATGGTGATACAAATATTCCAACACATATAAAATATTTGTATTTATTTATTATAGCTTCGATGCGAAACTGAGAAGGTATTAATTTTACTATGATGAGTTTTTTATTTTTTTATTAATTTTTTTATTTTTTTTTTATGTCTGTGAACGCTCAATCTCAGCTCTCGCTGGACCGATTTTGATGAACAATATGTCAAAAGATCACAAATCGTATCTAGTCGAAGACATTACCCTCAAAAATTGAAAAAAATTCCCTCGTTCCCCGTAAACGGGGGAAATCCCCCAAAAAATTACAAATTTAAAAATCGCTAATTTTCGATATTTTTTCAATTTTTTTTACTTAAAATTGCCATAACTTTTTTAAAAATGACCGAATCAATATAATTTTTTTTTTTATAGATACCTTAGATAATTACCTATCATTTTATATATTTTTGTGAAACATTTGACCCTTTAACAGCCCACAGGAAGGGTTTCAAAATGGTAGCTTTTTCACAAAAAATTAACTTTTTCAACTTAACTTTTGAAAATGTTCCGGAAAGACTGACAATTTTATATATACCTTAAATTAAAGCTAATGTAATATACTTTAATTTGAAAAAAAAAAATTTGACCTCTGGACTTGTCTTCATGGTGAAAATGACTACCGTATGCAAAAATATGCTATTTTTGTGAAAAAATTCTTGATATTATATTTTACATTTTTTAACATTATGTTGCTATAACTTTTTAAAAAATGCATGAATCAACTTTATTCTTTAATGATAAATACTTTATATATACTTCTTTCATTCGACATACTTTTTTTTAAAATCGGACCATTTCCCTTTATACAGGGGGGGTGCAAACCTTTTAAAATGCGTATAGAAAGTAGAACTTTTTCAACTTAACTTTTGAAAATGTTCCGGAAAGACTGACACTTTTATATATACCTTAAATTAAAGCTTATGTAATATACTTTAATTTGAAAAAAAAAAATTTGACCTCTGGACTTGTCTTCATGGTGAAAATGACTACCGTATGCAAAAATATGCTATTTTTGTGAAAAAATTCTTGATATTATATTTTACATTTTTTAACATTATGTTCCTATAACTTTTTAAAAAATGCATGAATCAATTCTATTCTTTAACTATAAATACTTTATATATACCTCTTTCATTCGACATACTTTTTTTTTAAATCGGACCATTTCCCTTTATACAAAGGATNAAAATCGGACCATTTCCCTTTATACAGGGGGGGTGCAAACCTTTTAAAATGCGTATAGAAAGTAGAACTTTTTCAACTTAACTTTTGAAAATGTTCCGGAAAGACTGACGCTTTTATATATACAGGAAATTAAAGCTTATGTAATATACTTTAATTTGAAAAAAAAAAATTTGACCTCTGGACTTGTCTTCGTGGTGAAAACGGACATCAAAGTTAAAGAAAAACGTACGATTTCCGTGAAAAAAATCTCGATTTTATATGTTATATTATTTAATTTATATTTTATATAACTTTTGGAAAAATGTATGGATC